CGTCCAGGAGCAGCTGGAGCGTCGCACAGACGCTAGTATGCATGCGTGCACCGCGCGCGTGCACGAGGACGCCACCGGCCCCGTTCCAACCGGTTCGGTTGGAATGGGGCCGGCGGCGTCCTCGTGCACGCGCGCGGTGCACGCATGAGTAATAGCGTCTGCGCGCCGCTCCAGCTGCTCCTGGATGATCTGCAGGCGTTGTATGCGTCCTGTGCATGCGTGGAAGCGCAGAACTCGTCAAAACCGGGTAAGGACCGCGGGCGGGCGGGCGCGCCCTTCGCTGTTCCCGGAAGTTACTTACTTCCGGGTTCGGCGACCAACCGGTTCGCAGGGACCGCCGCGAACCGGTTGAAACCCACCCCTGGCTTGTACCCAATATGTTGGCCCACAAACCCTAAAATAATTTTCACTCCCTTAAGGATGCATCAAATGAGAGGCTGCATTTTTTACACTTATATTCTCTTGGCTACATGTCTTGCATTTGAAAATGAGGGTCTCCGCTCATCTCTTTTCCTACCATCTAACCAGCTTGAATTCAACTGTGGGTGGCAGTTTTACCTCCGTGAAAAAGGCCTCCTTCCTGACACAAGGGGAATGATTTCTGCCCATCAATAGTGGGCATACAATTGCAAAGTTGCATTTATATACAGGGAGAGGCCGTTTTTGTAAACTGAACAAGTAAACAGGGCTGGGGCCACAAATGAAATCTTGTCAGCTTTTTTTGTCAATCAGAAATTGTCTATCTAAAAAAAAAAAAAGTGTCCATCAATTAGATCAGACACAAACAGTGATACTATATGTTATTGGTAGGCAGCAATAATAGAATCTTGCAAGATGCTTTGTGCTTTCACACACACAAACACACCCCTTCAACTCCACCACGTCTTAGCATTCAAGGTATGCTTTTTGTCACTTTTGCTTACATAACAGCTTATGAATATTTGTTTCCGGGCACCTCCTTGGCTCTCTACAAATAAAGATGTTTATTAATGTTTGATGGTAGCAAGAGCATCAAATAGAAGAATGGAAGGCTGAGTCAACACTGAGCCGGTGAGATTTGAACAGCCGAACTGCAGTCAGCTGAAGTAGCCTGTAGTGCTGCATTTAACCACTGCGCCACCTTGGCTCTTAAACATAAGTGCTAGTGTAGCATTTGAAATCTTCTAATTGTGTGCAGTTTAACAAGTGCCATGAAAAGGATTGTCTTAACTCCTACTTTGGTTGCCCAGTTCTCTTCTGATCCTATGGACATCTTAGGCTTTGTGTATCAGGAAGAAGCAGAATCTTCCTCTCCATGAAATTATAGGCTTCATGGAGGGCAGAGTAGGTTAGAACACACAATGGATTAATGTCAAGAACTGTGGAGGATTAAGGATGCTTCTGGAAAAGCAGCAGTTAATTTTCTCCATGGTATGTTTGCTTGTAGCCACCACTATTCCATCAGAAAATATCGGCAGTTTTCACCCATAATCAGAAGTTGTAGAAAACCATCAAGGGCCATTTATGGTCTACCATAAGAATGTAACCTTGGCAGCTTTAAGACTTGTGAACTTCTACTTCCAGAATTCCTCAACCACCCATGCTGGCTGGGGAATTCTGTAAGCTGAATTTAGCCACAAGTCTAAAAATTGCCAAGTTTGGACACCCTTGCGCTAACAGAAATGCTAATGTTCAGATTTGGAAATTCACTTAAAGGGCGGTCAGATCTTCTTCATATATTGCATTTTCTTCCTTCATATTCCTGCTGCTTATATTGGGCAGCAAACTCACACCTCTACACTCAAAGCAAGGGAAATCCAGTAAGGGAAATTAACTCACAAAATAATTAAATTTAATAGGGAGTATTTTCCCTAGCAAAGCCTCTTCCCCTGGCCCACCCAGCTTACATTGACAGAATTTATGATTTAGGAATATTGTAGAAGAAAAACAAGCATCTCAAACTGAATTGTATTCAGGGCCGGATTTTCCTATAGGCTAACTAGGCTTCAGCCTAGGGCCTCAGGATCAAGAGGGGCCTACATTCAAATTGTTAGCAAAATTAAAATTACACTATTCTAAAAACAGTGAACACTAAAACACTGAACCGAAAATAAGGAGAAATTCTACGCATATGACTAATAAACAAACATAAAAATGTATTAGTTAAGATCGTTCCAGCGCCGCGGCAGTTGGGGAGCCCGCCCACGTTCCCGGCACCGGCGGTCGGGCGAGAGGCGTGGCCGCTCCCAGTAGCCGCCCCGTCGACGGGGAGCCCACCAGCGGCCAGGCAGGTGAGGGTGAGGGGGCCGAGCCGGGCAGCTGAGCGCAGCAGGAGAGGCGGCTGGCCTTGCTGCCTTTGCCGCAGAGCAGAGC